GGGGGGGCGGGGGGGACTAAGCAATAATGCCAATAATCTCTATGCAAGCCTCAGTCACCTTGCTTGTGTAAATCCAAAAGGGAGCACAACATAGATGTAAAACCAATAGCTGTTTTTGCATCTTCCTACCACCAGTGTAAGCATGAGTTGTATGTATATAAATTGGACTGAGAACTATTTTTGTTTTTAATCTACATCCTGAACAATTGTGCATGTCTTCAGGAATGCTAGACATAGGCTTTGGTAATAAGTATGCATCGCTAATACATGGAGATGAACCCCTCAGTAACACCTCAGCCAACGGTAACACAACAAGTGAAATACAATGGAAAGACATACTGGTAATAAGCAATATTTATGTGGCCAACAGAAAGGAAATTTTCTGCAAACCGAGTACAACTTTTGGATCAGGATGACAAATGTTGTGGATTCTGTGGTTGGGATCCCTAGTTTATTAGACAATCCCACAGTATATTGTAAATTACAAATATTTTTATGACAGAAATGTAAAAAACTGGCAAATACCACTACAGCAAGAATGCATGCAACCCCAAGTTAGAGGATCAGTCTACCCAAAATCTATATTAAACTTTTAAGTATTGTGATTGCAAGATCTGCCTTTCATTGTTTCTAGATATGTTCTTCTCCATACTTATGTCCCATTACTCTTCTTACCACTCATTGCACTACATTCCCTACAGTAAAAATCCAACCCTGCAAATGTTTGTCCTAAGGAGAACAACGTGGATACACATTTAAGTGAAATTGTATTTCACAAAAAAATTTATGAAATGTGAACATTTGTTGAACGACATTTTTAGGCCTTTAAAAAGGAACTTTCAGGAAAGTGAATGAAATCAGCATTCTAATACAACTATTCAGCAAACACCACAACTCTGCTAAAACCATGAAGTTCAATCACAATTTATCTTAATCTGCATACTCCAACAACAAAACTCTTAGAGAGCTTCTCAGTAGAATCTCTGGGAGTGTATTTCCTGAAGCCTAAGCTGTGCAACTTCGTATATCAAGGGTAGCCAAATTTAGGCCCTCCAGCTGTGGTTAAACAAATTACCATCACGTATCTGCCTCTGGGAGCCATGCCTGTGGCTTTCAGAGTCTTGCAATGCCTAATGGGATCTGCAGGTTCAATACAGCTGGAGAGCCAAAGTTTGGCTACCCATGTCCTACATGCTTAGTACTGACATTTTCTAACATGAGGCTTTCTGCATGTAAGAGACAGTATTGGGTGTGTTTTGTATTTGTTCATCTGCAATATTATCAGAGATTAAACAATTAGATTCCTAAAGAAAGAGATTGGGGTGGACTGCAGCACTTCCTGCAAGAAAAATTAAAGTACTGGGCAAAGTAGGCTGCACTCTCTCCAGCATTTCAAGATTTACTGTAGAGCACTTTTAAGGCCTAACTCCAGGTAGTAATTAAATATACCCTCTTCCCCCAACTGATAAAGGACCCAATCATTTTCTAGATGATGAGATAAAACAGAAGTTTACTTATCTTAAATACACTGTCCCGTCATCTTCCTCCATGCCAGTCTCCAACCGGTTATGTCACCTCCCTTCTCAACGACTTCATCAGATACAATGCAGGGCCAGCAGCCACATCCCTTCTTGATGACATGGCCACTGGTCCTGCATGGTACATGAGGTAGGTGTACCTGCTCACATTCCATGTTGGAAAGCCTGGACCACTGGCTGACACGAGACTGCAGGTTTAGGAAAGTAATACACAATCTAATCTCATCCATGAGATAAAAATGAGCAATAGATCTTTTATTACCTGGGGGAGAGGGGATGGAGGGGGAGAGGGGATGGAGGGGGAGAGGGGATGGAGGGGCAGATTTTATTACTGCCTGGAGTTTAGCCTGAAAGTCACATTCCACCCCACCCCCCCTCCAATGCTGCTTTAAGGACTTACCCTAAGTGATGCCTGTTGATCAGATCATCATCTTCCTCCAACTTGTTTTCAGCAGTCCCTCCAGCGCTGGTACCAGTCTCTGATCCAGCGCAGAGACTGCTATCTCTCCCTATGGAGTCTGTCCGGAGTGCACTGACTTACACAATGGCTCTCCTGGCCGGTGATCTCCATTGTGCATGCGCCCGCACACATACTCCTGCACGGCCGCTCGAGAAGCTGGATTCTGCGGCCGAGAGCGGCGGAGACAGAGGTAAGTTTTTACCTATTTGGTAACTTTTTTTTTTGTTTGTTTTTGCATATATCTACTGCCTGCAAGCAGAAGATATATGTAAAACAACCTGAGACTTTAATGTCACTTTAAAAATCCTTAATATCTCTAAGGGAACCTAATATTGTTCAGCTTGACAAAACTGCTAATATAATTGTTTTTAATTCACAAACTGAACACGGCATTATTAAAAGATATGTATCATTTGACAAGTGAATGCATTGTCTCCAAATCCTTTTCTCAGTAGTTACAGATTTCAAAAACTGTTGCAGAAATACTTAAAAGATGCTATCATTTTAACATGCTGAAGAAATTAAAAGCGGATCTTGGAAGTTCTGAATCCAGTGATCCCACGTCATATGGCGCTACAGATGGGAGAAGGTGAACTAGGAGAAAGCTAATTGTTTCAAAACATGTCTCTGTTTCTAGGGCCGATCGACGAGGACAGCAGAGCAGCAGACATAACAACTGTACTTTTCACAGGGAGAATAGCCGCCTCGGGGCTGCAGCCCAGTGAGGATGCTGCAATAGCACGTCTAACATGAAGAAACAATTATGGCCAGGGAGAATAATGAGAAAGCTGAGCGGCAGGCAATAAAATGAGCGTGGTCCATACCTTTCTGTCACTGCTGGTGTGGCCTGCAGGGGGGTTTTTCTTGGTGTAGCCTGCTGTTGTAGACCATCTTGTAGGGTTCCTGCGAGAGGGCTCTTCTGATACGAAGTTTGAGTCGCTGACTGAGGTGGTTATTACGACTAATGCCGGATCGCTACTGCGACGCACGTGCAGTGGCATATCTGAAAGAAAGAATTAAGTCATAAAATAATCATGTAACCAGCACTACTGGGGTATTACTGAGTAGCTTTTACATTCACTTAACTTGTAAGAAAAAAAATGAACAAAAAAAAAAATGAACAAAAAAAAAATGAATTCTAGTTTCCACAGGTAACCAATTCAGCTAACAGTATATCCCCATGTGCATATTCAACAAGCAACGTGGTCATGCCAGAACACCTGTTAGCGAAATGAAAACTAAACGCTGATTGGATGCCATGTGCTGCTGACTGTTAAAGTGGCCATACACTGTACAACCATCGCAAGACCTTAGTCTTGCGATGGTTGTAAAGTGATTAAAAAAACGTACCATCGGCCCATCTTGGACAGGCAGATCGCACTCTCGATCATCGCAAGCCCGCCCTCCTGAGGGGCGGGTTTCCAATGACCGCAATGCTGAACGGGCAGTGTGCGCGTGCGCACACCGGCCCGTTCGGCATTTGTCTCCCGAGCACCGTTCTAACCAGCCGAAAATCGTACGATTCTCGGCTGGTTTTCTAACATGCTCCTTAGACAAAAGACGTGCGACCGTACAGTAGAAACGGTCGCACGTCTTCGTTCACACTGTTCGATTCTGGTACGATCGCGGGATTTTCCGCGATTCTCGTACGAGAATCGAGCAGTGTATGGGCACCTTTACAGACAGCACTGTAGAGATGTCTCTACACACACTTGGCTTATAAACGGATTACCACAATACAAATTTTAACTTAAATTCTTCTGGACATGCTAGACATTTACCGACAACCCATGTAAGAAGAAGAGTTACAAACACTATGCATATAATGTCTGTTGCAAAAACTAAAAGTACATGTCAAGCCAAAAACTTTTTTCTTAGCTTTTGGTAGCTTGTAGGGCTTTTCAGGCTACATGATGCTCTGTCCGAGAGATTTACCATTACTTCCTGCACTGTTTTCACCAGACAGAAAGTAGGGGAAAATCTGCAACAAGGACACAGAATCTGACAGCAGTTTTAACCTTCCGCTATTCTACTAAAGAAAAACATATTTTTTTATTGCTGTCTGTGCTGCGGCTTGAGAAAACTCCTTTGTCAAACTTAAAGTGACCCTAAACTTAGGAGTTGAATCTTGAAAATGCATTAAAATCCCCTATTTAACAAAAAATTTTACTTATTTGTGTATCACTCGGCTGTAGATCCTCAAATCATCTCTGAATTCATGCTGACACTGTCCTTCCTTCTGGACTACTTTACAGCACACACAGGGACCAAGGGGAACAAAAGTAGTCCCCCTCCAGAAGGAAGGACAGTGTCAGTACAAATCCAGAGATGATTTGGTAATCTACAGGTGAAACTCGAATAATTAGAATATCATGCAAAAGTAATTGCAGTAAGTGCTGCAAAAGGGGCCCAAACCAAGTACTGAGTACATATGCATGCTTGCACTTTTCAGAGGTCCGATATTGTTCTATGTACAATCCTTGTTTTATTGATTGCATGTAATAATCTACTTTTTTGAGGTTGTGGATTTGGGGTTCTTGGGGTTTTCATGAGCTGTAAGCCATAATCATCACAATTATGACAAATCACGGCTTGAACTATCTTGCTTTGCATGTAATGAGTCTATCGCATATATTAGTTTCACCTTTTAAGTTGCATTAGTGAAATAAATGAACTTTGCACGATATTCTAATTATTCGAGTTTCACCTGTACAGCGAAATGATTAGTAGGAGCTTGCATCTACTTAGAGTTTGTAATTGGCACAGGGTAACGGGCGAGGGCAACAAGTTCCTCGTAGGATGTTTTTATGACAACTGCTAACAAAAAGACTGAGCGTGCAAAAATGGCCTGCAACCGTGGGAGAATACTGACACATAAGAAAGCTTTCATGTCCTGTGGATTCAAATCTACCTCATTCTAACAACTTTATGTTCCTAGTAACACATGAGAAAAACTGCTAAAATCCCTTTCCACAAAATAAAGCAAGATGAGAAGAATTAGTACAGCTCACTAGAGGGTACGTCACTTTATTTCACACTTAACAGAAGAACAAATAAAAATCATTACATGTATCCAGCATGGTTCAGATACCTTTAGTACAAATGGTTTTTCTTAGGTGCTTGATTTTATACACCTGTGGCCATGGAGGTGATTGGAACACCAGAATCCAATGATGTGGAGGGGTGTCCCAATACTTTTGTGTGTGTATATATATATATATAAAAATTGTATACTTACCTATCGGTAATTTTCCTTTCCTGGTGCATCTTCACGGCAGCACACAATGGGTTAACGCTCCGCCCCTTAACCCCATAGGACAAGCCCTCTATAAGTTTTGCCCCGTGGCTTAGACCCCATTCTCGTAAAAATCATGATCCATGCAGGGTGGGTGCCTGTGTGCTGCCATGGAGATGCACCAGGAAAGGAAAATTACCGAAAGGTAAGTATACAATTTTCTGTTTTCCTGGCACATCATGGCAGCACACAATGGGAAATAGAAATCACACAGGGAGGGAATACTGCAAAAAAGGTTTAATAAGATACAACTAAGCCAAAGCACCGGCAGAAATGACCATCCTGCCAAAAGCCACCGTAGTGAGGGCAGCAGGATCGATCCGATGACGAATTAAAGTGTTCCTGGGGGACCAGGTAGCTGCCTTGCAGATGGTTTCTGCTGACACACTGGCAGCAGCTGCCCATGAAGTAGCCACTCCTAGAGTAGAATGTGCCCTAACCTCCTGAGGCACAGAAAGATCCTGAGCTGTGTAAGCTGTTTGGATCATCTTCACCAGCCAGGAGGCCAGATTCCTTTTGGTAGCTGCCTGGCCTTTTCGAGTGCCTCTTGGGAGAACGAAGAGATTTGGAGCAGACCTGAAGTCCCGTGTCACATCAATATAGAGCTTGAGGGAGTCCACTACGTCCAGAGGATGAGGTTCCCCTGACACACCCAGCATAGCCGGGAGAACGATCTCCTGATTCAGATGGAATGAACAAGCGACTTTTGGAAGAAAGGGTGAGAGTTAGGTCATAAAACTGCCCGATCAGGGAAAAAAAAACACAGTAAGGCGGGTCCACCACCAAGGCCTGCAATTCCGACACACGTCTCGCTGAGGCTATAGCTACCAGAAAAGCGACTAATAGTGAGATGACATATGGAAGCTTCTGATAATGGATGGAATGGAGGATGCGCAAGCGACTTCAACACCACCGGCAGATCCCATTGCGAGATGGACAGTCTCTTCAGAGGTTTCAGTTTGAGGCATGCTTTCAGAAATTGCCTAACTAAAGGATTAAAAGAACCATCTGGTGCTTGTGAACGCGGAAATTGCAGAAATGTGGGCTCAGTGTTCCAGGTCAGACCCATGTCTAACCCTGACTGTAGGAAATCTAGTACATCACTCACGCTGGGGGAAGATGGATCAAATCCTTCCTGGCTGCAGCCTGAATGAACCTTCTTCAAACTCGATTGTATGTTGTATTGGTAGAGTTCTTCCTGGCCTGAAGCAGGGTGTGGATAACCCTAGGGTGTGGAGCCGGTCCCTCTCAACCTCCATGCCGCTAACCTTAGATTGGATGGGTGAGGATGGAGAAATTGGCCTTGACTCAGAAGAACGTCCCGCATCGGAAGCAGGAATGGAGGCTCAAGACGTATGATGTAGGAGCAGGGGGAACCACGACCTCCTCGGCCAATATGGTACCACTGCTATGATCACCCCATTGAACTGTGCTATGCGCTGAAGCAGCCTTCCTACAAGGTGTAGAGGGGGAAAGGCATACCCCGTTGAGAAATCCCATGGAGTCGTCAAAGCATCCTCCGCCAGAGCTTCCTGGCAGCGGAAGCGGGTCACAAAGTGCACGCATTTGGTGTTCAGTGGAGAGGCAAACAGGTCGACCTGAGGACGGCCCCATTTCCTGATGATTTGAGAAATACTTCCTGAAGTAGGGACCACTTGTGCGTTCCCAGAAAGGACCGACTGAGGGAGTCTGAAAGAGTATTCAGACGTCCCGGTAGATATATGGCCTGTAGATTCCATAAATTTGCCTGTGCCCAGCACATCACTGGTTCTACTTCTGACATCATCGAGCAGCTGCAGGTACCACCCTGTCTTTGGAAGTACGCCACTGCCACCCTGTTATCCAGCTGCAGCTGGACTGACCTGCCCATCAGGTAAGAGGCAAATGCGCGTAGTGCCTGAAATGTTGCCCGCATCTCTAAGATATTGGATGTATGAACATCCGCTTGGAATCTCCATCTGCCCTGAGCCACCAGCCGGTTGAAATGGGCTTCCCACCCAAAATGGCTGGTGTCCGATGTCACAAGGACTGGCTGAGGGGGCGAAATCCAGTGGAAACCACGCAGATGTTCCCGGTGGGTCCACCACCATAGTGATGACTTCATCCTGTGAGATATTCGTATCCTCTGGGTCAGGCTGACTTTGTCCCACTGGGTCAGAAACCCCAATTGGAATCCCCTTAAGTGCCAGTGGGCCGGTCTTACCATGGGAATGGTGGAAGACAGAGTGCCAATCAGACTGAGGCATCCTGCCGCTGGAATCTGATAAGCGGACATCGTGTGCAGCACCTTGTGACGGACGCTCTCCACCTTCTCCTCTGGGAGAGATATGGTATTCTCCGACGTGTTTAAGAGAGCTCCCAGAAAGACCATGGATCTTGAGGGAACAAGACTTGTGGTCGTTCAACAGCCAACCAAACCGCTGGAGTGTGGAAAGGAGAATGCCCTGATGCCCGAGTGACAAATTCTTGTCCTGTGCCAGGAGAATGATGTCGTCCAGGTAGTGGTTTACCCTGAGGCCCTGTTACCGTAGAAGGGCGATGATGGGAAGGGATAACCTTTGTGAACGTTCGGGGAGCTGTACAGATCCCAAACAGGAGGCAGTAGAACTGGAAATGCATGTTGAGGAAGGAAAACCGTAGATATTTTTGAAAACGATGATTACGGGTACATGGAGGTAGGCGTCTGCCAAGTCTACTGACGACATCAA